TTTCTAACTAAGGACCCTAAACTGAGACTGGCATCGAAAGTCATCGCTAAATTCCAATCTGTTCTGGCGAGGGCCAGGTTCAAAAACCACCAAATTTCCACAAGGATAGCCGAGGTGGCCTTAAAAGAATATCATATCTCTAAAAACATTTTTAAAGATGCATTTACACTATAATTTTTATAAATCATATGTTTTTTTAAACCATACTTCAAAATTACTTGTCTTTCTCCTTCTAGTCATAGTATAATATTTAGTTATTTTTTTGTTGATTATTATGAATTTATTGTGTGATTGAATAATGTATGTCTCCCATTGGGATTTAAAAAAATAAAATAAAACTTTAATTTCTAAAAAAAGCATTCTCTTGGATCCTAACAGTTGGAGACCTATACCTAGAGAGAGGAAAAAATGTGATAATTTTTGCCAAAAAACGTTTTTTATGTTACTCCAAATGAGAAAAAATGTTAAAAAATGTCAAATATGTAGACTCCACATTTGATTTATTGTAAATTTATTCTTTCATATAAACAGTGGCATACAGTAATCTATGACAAATTTTTCTCGGTGAGGTTTTGGCGACGGTCGGATAAAACATTTTTCAACCTAAAAATTGGGCTCTTCTCATCTGGAAGAACAGCTTCAGGTTTTCCTAGCAGCACATCTCGTACCTGTTTCAATGTTGGCAGGGCAGGATTTTTCTTTACAACGTAATCGAATTTAGTATTAAAAACATCTCCGGCGTCACCTGGAATCTTTCGGATCCTTTCCTCAGTATCTTCAAAGATTTTGATTCCATCTTCGAGTGTAATTCCTACAGTCTCCAGGCTGGTAATTGAATCTGGCAGAAGCGATAAATGAATTGCAATAAATGTTAAGTCAACTAGAATACTTTTTAGTTAAAAAAAACCGCTGACTATCGGATATACATTTGACATCGTCAGGGTCAAGCATAATTTTAAATATAATTTGTAATTTTGACTTATTAAGTAGCCCATTCGTGTCCTCTAGCTGGGCTTGGATCCTTGTCCTCTTGAGCTCGCAGTTTTTCACGTGACCCACTTTGGTAGAATGCTAGACAAGCTGAGACTTTTGGCCAGCAAGGAAGGCCTTCTCACAAACCTTACAGAAAACAGTTTGGGAGTCCATAATTGTGAAGGGATAATCAGTCCTCTCATTCATATCCTTGAGCCAGTTTAGATAGATAGACAATGAAGCTTCCATATTTCTGTAAATAATGGAATGAGTGAGTTCATCAAATGTTTTTAATGACAATGAACAAGATGTTTATTATATGTGAGCTTAAAAAAATTACCTTGTGTCTAATAGGGGTCAGACTTAGCGATGGAGTCCAGCACAATAACAGCGATTGCTATCAATCAAATAATATGGCATAAGCATAACTTTTCCTTTTTATACGGAAAACGTGGATTGATTAAAAGCCTCAATAGAAGTATATTTAGTCAAAAGGCGTATTATTTCCCTCCAAAAATCAACAAAAGAAGGAAATCAAAAATCAAAAATGATGCAAGAGGTGATGAAAATAAGCTCAAGAATTTTTCTAAAACGAAAAAAAGTGTTTATATAGGGATACTATGAAGAAAAATGTATTTTTTCTTAAATTTCCAAAAAAATGTTTTATTTGTTAAAAATGGATAATATGTAAAAAAATATTTTTTCCCGCTCTCTACCCATAACTGTATTAAATGAAAGTTATAGAATTCTTTCGGGGATAATCACTTAAAAAATCGAACCCATTTTGAATTCTAAACTTGGTTTAGTGCAAAAAGGGGTTCCTAAAGGGAAGGAAAATCTCATACATCGCCCGGAATATACAGAGCGTATGCGAAATAGTCAATGCCAAGGGTTCCTATAGTGTCCTAATTGCAGTACACTTTTCATAGGCATTTGATACAATTCTGTATACTCACATCTTGAAATCAATAAAAAGTTACTTTCTAAGGAGTTCTTTAATCCCATCAGAGCTTTATTGTTAAATGGTACCTACTCCATATCTGTGGGGAATGTAGAGAGTGATGCAATTATTTTGAAGAGGAGTTATCGTCAGGGTTGTCCCACTATTATTCGCTGCGGGACTAAAAGTGTTAACATCATAAAAAATATGGAGGATTTGGTGTGAGTTTTGGCAATTTAAAACATATTATAGATATGTATGCGGATGATATAACGCTTTTCTTAGAAGCTAATCCTGAAAAACAACTGATAAAGTGCATTTAAGTTGTACTTAATTTATTAAAAAATTTGGCCAAAGATCCGGTTTACAAATAAACGTTAAAAACTATTGCTTTGTAAATGGTTTCCAGACAAGGATTGTAAGCTCCCTAGTTTAATAATATAAAACCGTGGACCTATTAGGAATTACTTGGGGACGTTATGGCCTACAAGTAATAACTGGTCTACTCTTTAAAAAAATTTGGACGGAAAAAATCCTCATTGGAGGAAATTCAATCTACAAAAAAGGATTGACCTGTACCATTATCAGGTGGTTCCTGCTGTTTTGTATAGATCTACAGCTGTCATTGGATCGCGGAGAAGGCACTAAAGGAGGAAAACATCTGGCTAAATAATCTCTTTCTAAAAATCTATTTACCGGCTATTAAACGTCCGAAATCAGATTTGGGGGGAGGACTATCCCTGTTATCTAGGATTATTCCCAAAATTTATAGGAAAGTTTTAATTGACCTCTATAAAAACCCAAATTTGGAATGGAGGAAAAATATCACTCCTAGCCCAGCCTATAATTGGACTATGTTAGGGACGGACGCAACAAACGAATTCCTAGAATACTTTTCCACCTCATTAGCTATGATTCAGAGACTAATATGGCGAGGAAAACCAAGTTTTTATAATTCCTCAACTATTGACATTACTCGTCAAGATAGAGAAAAGAAGTTATTTTTAAGAATCTAGACGATCCAATTTTTGTTGGAAAGAATAGCTTTATCCTCCAATGTCCTCACATTACATGATCTCACGAATGAATCTATCTTCAAGTCCGGAAATTTGTATTTAAACTTCAAAGGACTGCAAAAGAGCACATAGTCCCCGCTCGGTAGCATCTAAGAATGTGTTTCTCCTCTGATACGAAAGCGGAGTCGGAAAGAATTGTCGACAAGTATTTAAAAGACTTGGATTTGAAGTTATTGTGGAAGAGTAGAATTTTGAGTTTGATTTCCAAGTTAGCCATGAAAAACCCTTGTCTGCTCAGTTTCAAATATTCACAAAAGTCTCATTTTCAGTATATTATTTTCAAACCTGCTCTAATGGTCTCTCAGGATCATTATTTGTATTTTTATTAATTAATCTATCATTTTTGTTTAAAATATTTTATTTTGCAGTAATATTTTTTTAAAACAAATAATCTTTTGTATGCTTTTTCATAATGCTAAATCCTATGAAAAGAAGTGTAGCTTTATTGAATGCACAAATAGTTAACAAAAAATAATCTTTGTAAAGATACTAGCCACCTTCTATTAGAAACGTCATTTTTCTTTTATAATTATATCGTTGACTTTTCGTACTTCTTGAGAAATATTGTACTTGCAGTTATAAATTTTTTTCAACAAGTAATCTTTTGTTGTTGTTTCACAATGATAGTGATCCAAAGAGCCCGAGGGTCCATGAGAATCAATATGCTATAGTTGCTATCACAGAACCCGAGGGCCCATGGATGGTGGGTTGAAGCCCCATTATACCATAGATGTAATTGACGGAATATGCTATATTTGTGATCGGCGAAACCATAGGACTCATCGGCCGTGGGTTTGAAATGCCATAGATGTAATTGGCAGAACCCAACGGGTCCATGAGTGGTGAGTTTGATACCCCATTATGCAACTGTTGTAATTGGCGGAACCTGGGAAAAAATATTTGTGCATAAAGTTCATCTACATGTTAAAGTGTATTGAAATTATATATGACTATTATCCTATCCTAAACAGATATGCCTCCAGAGAGGATTGAACTCTCGACCCCTGGTTTACAAGACCAGTGCTCTGCCACTGAGCTATAGAGGCCTTGTGCCCTGTTGAATGAAGGATTTATGTAAATGCCATACACTTCTTAATTAATAACAGATGTGTTAAGCACCATGAATCCTAGTATCAAATGAAAATATTAATTTTAACGCACTAATAACGTAATATCAAGCCTCTATAGCTCAGTGGCAGAGCACTGGTCTTGTAAACCAGGGGTCGAGAGTTCAATCCTCTCTGGAGGCAGTTCAATTTTGTTTCTGTTGCGAAATAAGTAATTGGAGATGCAAATTCTTTAATTATGCAAAAGTTAGTGTCATCAGGAGAGGACATAACTTTTTATAAGGCAAGCCTATTTTGATTTCTATGGACATAAAATGAAAAGGAAGGGCTTATCCATTATTAAAATATAAATTTTAAGAATATATTTTTTTTACTTAATAGTGAATTTAATCATGTTGACTCACCTTGTCCTGAAAGCAATTTTTTTCGTTAAATTATACTTTTTTTGTTGCTAAAAAACAATTATATCAATCTTTATTTTTTTAAAGCAAATCCAGCATCTCGAAGATTTATTGATATTATTTATACTTTATACAAATTCAATAAATGTTTTTGTGATATAACTACTCCGATTACTACCCAATGATACACTTATTGATTGAGTAAACTTTACAACGATATCTACAGTCTTTTCTGTGACGAAATATCTTTGTTTGACCGGAATATTATTAATTTCCCTTCTTCTTAGGTATCCAACAGGATTTTCCCATATTCGAAATGGCCAGTAACAACAGAACAAAAAAATGTTCTAATTTTTTTTAGGTGAGTATACCAGGGGTTGAGAATTCGATCCTCTCTGTAGGCAGTTCAATTTTTACTCCTGTTGCAAAACAACCAGTGGCCGTTCGACCTTTCTCAGTGACCTTCCACCTGCTGCTATGACGGAATAAGCCTGACATGACCTCAGAGAGGATTACACTACTAGACACAGAAATAAAATTGAACTGCCTCCAGAAAGGATGGAACTCTCGACATCTGGATTACAAGACCAGTGCTTTGCACTGAACTATACTAAGTAGAGGCTTTATGTATATGTTGATGCAATTAAGGTTTCCAAATAATAATAGGACCCATATCGTTTTATCACAACTGTTCTTAATTGAGGACATATATGATATTTTATTAATGATGGTTTTTGTGGGGAACTACGCCTCTATAGCTCAGTGGCAGAGTACTGGTCTTGTAATTATGGGTCGAGAGTTCGATCTTCTCTGGAGGCATATCTGTTTTGCCCAATGGCCTTTAACCCAAGAGCAAAAGTATAAAAATAATCTTGTACAATTTAAATTGTTTATAAAACTTATATTAAAATATATATTGCAGAAGGAAAGAAATATGGTTTGAAATGAAATTCAAGAAATCGTGACAGCAGAATTCTGACTATATAATTATGATAGAGCTAAATATTTTAGACCACTCTATATTAGTTTCAAAGTTTTATTAATACGCTCAGTCTTCAAATGTGGACCTATTTTTAAAGGTAATATAATAAGCTAATTACAATTAAAACAATAGAAAATTATGCTTGAAAAGTATTTTATTATTTGGGCTAGTAAAATTGATTTGATGCCTGTATTCCTTTTTTGTTTGTCAATGGTACTCTGGTCAATAAATATGGATCAGCTCTAATGATTAAGTTTTTTTGATGTTTGGTAACATTCAAAAATAAATGTTGTACGAAGGTACAAAAAAAAATATGGATCAGCTCTTTTGATACATAAAATAAACTTTCTTAACTTTTAAAGTTCTAAGAAATGGAGACAAAAATCATGTAAAGGAACTTGTACGTTTCGGGGTATCAAGAACTAGTTAAGTAGCTTCACCGTAAGCCAAAGCTTTGGACGTTACTCTCTTGAAGGGACTGATCGCAAATAACTCCTCCGATTTTAATTAAATTCACGTATGTTTCCTATGATGCCAAGAAAATTGCTGGCAACTCACTATATCCATCATGCTTGATATAACAATACATGAACTTCCAGCATTGGGAGTATAACTCCGCCACCATTCTTTCCAAGAGTAAAGCCTTTGTTTAGTTATATAGAAATAAAACTAGTTAATAATTAAAACATATAATTTTTTTTTGGGTTTCACATATTACAATATGTAATATCATTTTGGGGTTACAAGCCCACAGCCAACTGGCCCACAGTTCCTGATAATCCCACTAATAGCATAGTGGGGTAACAAACCAACAGCCAAAGGGCTCACGGTTCCTGATAATCCCATCAATAGCATATTGGGGGTTCAAACCCACAACCCATAGGTCCTCAGGTTCCATCAATCACAACCGTAGCAAATTGGGGTTTCAAACCTAACCACCCATGAGCCCTCGGGTTGCACCAATTGCAACTATAGCGTATATGGATTTCAAACCCATCGCCAATTTGTCGTGAGGTTCCAACGATATTACAACAATCGAGTATTATGGGTTTTAACCCACCACCCATGGGGGTTCAGGTTCCGCCGATCACAACAGTAGCATACTGGGGTATCAAATCCACCACCCATGGACTCTCGGGTTCCGCGAATACATTTATGGTATTTCAAACCCACGGCCGGTGGACCTTATGGTTTTTCAATCACAAATATAGCATATTGAGGTTACAAAACCACCGCCAATGAGCTCTCAAATTCCGTCAATTACATCTATGGCATAATGGGGCTTCAATACCACCATCCAAGGGCCCTCGGGTTCTGTGATCACAACTATAGCATATTGATTCTCATGGACCCTCGGGCTCTTTGGATCACTATCATTGCGAAACAACAACAAAAGATTACTTGTTGAAAAAAATATATTACTGCAGTACAGTATTTCTCTAGAAGTCCGAAAAGTCAACGATATAATTAATAAAAAAAAAATGACGTTTCTAATAGAAGGTGGCTGGTATCTTTACAAAGATTTATTTGTTGTCAACTATTTGTGCAGTAAATAAAGCTACACTTCTTTTCATAGGATTTAGAATTTGGAAGAAACTAAAAAGGATTATTTGTTTAAAAAAAGTTATTACTCCAAACTATAATATTTTTCAAGAAGAATAATAGATTAGTTTAGAAAAATACATATAATGATCCTGATGGACCATTTGTGCAGGTTTAAAAATCAATATACTGAAAATGAGACTTGCCACATACGAGAGTCCATTGATAGCATTTGGATACACTTAAGAGTCAAATGGCTATGGGGTTAAACTCCCAAAATTCTATAGTTATGATCGCCGGAACCAGATAACCCATGTGGGGTATGTTTAAAACCACATTATACTATATTTTGACTGGTGCAACCCTTCTTTTTCGTTTTATATGTCCACGGAAATGTTATGTCCTCCTCTTACGACACTTAATTTAGCCTTATAAAAAGAATTTTCATCTCTTGTTATTTGTTTCGAAACAGGACTAAAATGGAAATGCCTCCAGAGAGGATCGAACTCTCGACCCCTGGTTTACAAGACCAGTGCTCTGCCACTGAGCTATAGAGGCTTGATATGAGGTGATTAGTGAGTTAAAATAAATATTTTCAATTGATACTAGGTCACATTTCCTTTTAACACAACTGTTATTAATTGAAGAGGTGTGTGATATTAACATTAATCCTTCGTTCAATAGGGCACAAGGCCTCAGGCCTCTATAGCTCAGTGGCAGAGCACTGGTCTTGTAAACCAGGGTCGGGAGTTCAATTCTCTCTGGAGGCATACTTGTTTTGCCCATGGTAAGAATCGAATATATATTTTAATCAATTTTTACTCTTAGAGGAACTTTAATTTATTAGCTACATCCAAGAGTCAAATGGCTGTGGGTTTAAAATCCAAATATTTCATAGTTTTGACCACGGAACCCAATGACACATTAGTGTTAGGTTTGAAATCACATTATGCTATATTTTTGAATGGCGGAACTCGAGGGCCCATGAGCCGTGACTTTGAAAACTCAATGCTCCATAGTCGGAATCGGCTGAAACCGAGGGCTCATTCGGGTTTGAAACTCCAATATGATATAGTTATAATAAGCAAAACTATTGGTGGGATTGGCAGGAACAGAGCCCATGGTAGGTGGTGGCCTTGAAACAGTATTATACTAATGTTGTGATTGACACAACTATAAGACCCATTGACGGTGTCTTTGAAGCCCTATTATGCCATAGGTGTCATGTTGTCAAGGAGTCGCTCATTTGAAATCCCATCATTTTTTGGGGGATATACTTCTGTACATAAAGATTTCTTTTGTAAAGGAAATTTCTTGATTAACATGATTTATTTTTGATGCTGTTTATCAATTGTTTTCTTTCTTGTATTATATTTTTGATGGTCCTTATAAATATATTTTTATATAATAACAATTCTACTTAACATATTATGTTTGCAAACAAGTACCGATTGTAAAATAGCACAAACTATTTCGTGGATATCAAAAACATTACCTGTCCAACTTATATTATACTATCAAAACAAACAAATAAATCTCTTTTCTTTTATCTAAAAATACCACATGCAACAATATATAAGACCTAAAATAAGTTTTTTAAATCATTGAATATTCGCAACCATGATGTTTGACCATGGGAGAAAAAGATCTAGCAATTAAATCAACCAAGTATATGATTCATTATGCAAACATATGGGGTTATCAAAAATTCTTGAGACTTTCCTTATAAATAACAATAATGAGCACATCATGGATCAGGATACGTTTGAATTTTATTTGATATAAAATGTACCTACATATACTTGGACACTTATCATTTGTGAATTTCGCCACCTTTGGCGTCAATGATAGTCTCTACGTGGCGATGGAAGAACTGCGCTAATTTTTGATGAATCATAACACCAAGTTCGCTGACTACCTAACTAATCCTGTCTGGTTAACAAAGCTGACGTATAACGATTCAGCATAGTTATATTTGCCATAAAATCAATTACATTTAAATAATTTTAAAATTCAATTTTTGAACATAGATAAGCCCTTCGTTTTCAATTAATGTCAATGGAAATCAAATATGTTTGCCTAACAAAAAATATATGTCCTCTAAATTAAGCGATATAAAAAGAATTTTCATCTCCGGTTTTTGTTTCATAACAGGAATAAAATTAAACTGCCTCCAGAGTGGATCGTACTCTCGACTCCTGGTTTATAAGACCAGTGCTCTGCCACTGAGCTATAAAGGCTTTGTTTTTCAATGAACAAAGCATTCATATTAATAAAATATATCACCAAAATTAATCACAGTTGTGTTAAACGAAAAAAGAACCCAGTATCAAGAGAAAATTTTAATTATGACTTACTACTGACAACACACCAAGCCTCTATAGTCAGTGGCAGAGCACTGTCTTGTAAACCAGGGGTCGAGAGTTCGATCCTCTCTGGAGGCATATCTGTTTTGGACAGGCTAATAATCATATATAATTTGAATACATTTTGACACGTAGATGAAGTTTATACAAAAATACTTTTTCCCAGGGCGAGTAATTATTATAATCAACTTTCTTTATAATAATATGTAATGAACAAATACATATTCTCATAATAACACAAGTAATCGTCGGAATACTAATTTGACTGAATTACAAAGTAATATTTAAAAAAATATGTTATTAAGCAACTGTTTCTAGCGTACCGAAAAAACAATTCTTCTTTTTGTTTTACCTAATTCGTTTTATGATACATACACCGGTAATACTTTTATAAATTAATTCCAATCCTTGAGATATGTGAATTTTAAAGTGTTTTTGGGATTGACCTAGCTATCAACACGTTCCATGGAGATGTACATAGACCGAGAGATGTAACTCTTTATATTGAAAATACTTAATACTATGGGGGGAAAAGAGACTGTGACAGAAGAAGGTAGATGCTGTGTTCTGTCCTTAGGAATTGTAGTTTTGGAGAGAACGTAATTATTTGTACATTCCTTTAATAGTAATGTACTCCTATGTTACGATAATGATAGATAGTTGAGACAGGCAAACAGAGACGCAGGAGGAGTAAAAGCCTCACAAATAAAGAAAAACAAAGTCGGGAGATGA